CGACTTTCAAGATCTACGTATCTACATGAGCCGATGTTTCCATTTATCAACATTATATTTTAAGATCTGTGCAAGAACTCGGCTAACAGATGTTTCCATATATCAAAGCTATCTTCAAGTTGCACAACGAAAAACCTTTTCAAGTTTTAAAGTCTAGGCATAACTCTAAAACAAAAATTAAAAAACAGCTATACTTCTTCACTTTTTATTGGAGAGGCCGGTGCGAGGGAGAAAGTAGAAGCATCTGAAGGACATCCAAAAGATGTGAAACTCTAATAAGAGGATTATACGAGGGAGACCGCACCACTTCTGTACCAGGTATAGTCTTCACCAAGATGTGAAAAAGGTGTGACATATCCAGGCAGAAAATTGTGAGGAGCAATGGGATCCTAACCACAATATAATATAATTTCAATCTCCCTGATGAACAGAATGTGGGTAAAATAACGGATGTGCTTCAAGGTGTGGAGTGGTTAGGGCACGACAGACCCTAAACAGCAAGTCAACTGCATCCGAAACTCGACTGCCGGGGACCAACATCCATGCAGGGGTAGGGAACAGGATCATACCATCTTTGCCACCGATTTGTGAACAGCATACATGTGAGAAGAGTGAATTAACACACAAATATATCCCCCTCATATTGTACATTAAAACCATCTCAATCGAAGTAGCATCTTTGGAATAAAGATATTGAGGTGTAGTGTAAGAGGAAGAAGCGAAGCAACCAACAAGTGCACCCATGTGATGCACAACACTGGGGTAATGCACTCGAGGCGAATTAAGTGAGGGACCAGGGACACCCTGAACACATGTGTCAGGGCATAAGTGGAGTGGTTCAGCTCTAAATCCAAAACTCAACTGCTGGGAACTAACATCCATGCAGACAGTACGATGAGGGATCCCAATCAGCACAACATGAGTGTGAACAGTATGTTGATTGGTTCAGCTCTAAATCCAAAATTCAACCGCTGAGAACAGACTTCCATGTGGGGATGGGATGAGGGATCCTAAAGCTACAACATCTCCTCAGACAAACTTGTGCAGAGATGGAGCGTCCATTTGGAGGACATCTCGTCGTCTACATCAGCAGAATACCACCACCCTACTCACAGCTAAATGGAGTATTTATTGTTTATATTGTATATCTCTCATTCGGGAGAATACCTCCATGGTCAACCACCCCAGTGGCTTGGAACTAGAAAGTGGGACGGAGTCTCTTACTCCACTGGAAGGAGCGGGGGGGGGACGTGGTGAAGAGTCAGGAGGAAAGTTCACACTAGAGACAGTGGAATAAGTGAACACAAAACACTATTTTGAAAAGCAGACCAAACCCAATTTATTCAATTTAAGGAATGAAAGCATTCCACTTCTCCTTTACCCATGAAGTCCATGGGTTTGTATGGTCCAGAATGAGCATATTTATGAAGCAAAGATATCACGAGGAATAGCCTATTAACAGTCTTGTGGAACACCCGATCTCTAGTTTATGTGGTTGTAATGAACAGAACAGTGTGTGTTTTGGGGCCATGGAAATTATGAAAGTGAAGTCAATATGGCTTTACAGTGCGGGTTTTAGTACAATTCTAATTTACTGAGGTATACCTGGATAGGCACCACTCGCTACAGAGCAGGAGCCTGGTCAAAAAATGGGACAGACCCCTGAAAAATAACATATGTAACAAAAGAAAGAAAAGTTACCCAGTTACAGTCTCACTAAGGAGTGAAGGATGGCGACAAGTGGAAGACGATACTCTGACAAGGAAGAGACTGCTATGCAAAGCAGATAATGGGAGATGGACATATGAGGTGTAGTCCCAGTGTTCGACAGATGAAGTACCTCTAATGGATGATGGGGTTGAGATGCAGGTAAAAGGTAAAGTGCCTGAACAGAGTGAAGACAACAGGAATTGATGATGGGAAGAAGGAAACAAGGAATAAAAGGCCAATCAAATCAAAAGCCAATCACAATAGGAATGGGAGGAGGGGAAAATCACAAACAGATGAACTATGCAAGGTACTCAAACTGCGGTAAATAAGCCTTTAAAGCAATGAAGCACCCCAGAGCATGTACAGAGCAGAGAAGGTCATCCAGATCCGACAGAGAATAATGGTGGAAGATGGTAAGAAATGAGAAATGAAATGATGAAAATAATATTCCATGAGCCCCCAAAGTGTAGGTTAGTAAAACTGATCCACAATAAAAAAGAACACATTGAGCTGAAACAGTCAAGAAAATCAGATCTGTGCTGGCCAGGAAAAAAGACTGGTGGAATGAGAAAACTAAAGTTATAAACTGCATCTAATCCTTTCTCAATATATTAACAGCCAGGGTGAGTGGATGTGAACTGGAGACCAAAAACAAAAGAGATAATTTGGAATCGAGAAAGGAGTCAAATGCTTACTGTGAAGGAGTACCCCACAGTAGGCAGAGCCACCGAAAATTTGAAGATCGAAAAGCCACTCCTTGGGAGAACGTATGTCAGGACTGGAAAGGTTATCTGCAATGAGGAAGAAAGCACTTGGAAAACAATGCTCCAGGGGATATATGTCAAGTGTGTGGGTTCAAAAAGAAATCCATTGTCTACTACAAAGGAAACTAAAATGAGTGCCACCTTGGTGAGTGATACAAGACACCACCATCGAATAGTCAGAAGAAAATATGATTAGTCAAATCCAATCAAGAGGAAGAAAATGAACTAAGCACACTGGACTATCAGAAGTGCCAGGGTGTTAATATGGTAAGACCTTTCATCTGTAGACCATTGTCCTGAAGCCTCCTGCAGATCGCCCCCCCCCCCAACTTCAGAGATGAGCATCAGGGAAGAGAAACAAATCCATACAAGGGGAAGGAATCAGTAAACTCGAAGACATTGGGGATATGTTCAACTACCAATGCATATGTTAGGTTGTCAAAAAATTAATGTCGCATTTTGGAACACTTTCATTAACCACCCCCCAAGAAACGTACATCACGTATAATAGTTAAACGAACTGCCAAAATGTCATGTTAGTGTAGCCTATATAATGTGTAAAGTGTAGTATACTCTAATCCTTTATAGTGATGGCACACGACGATACACATTGTGATGGCAGGGGCCGACATGTTGGAATTGATATTTATGCTCTGAGGATGCTTGTTGAGTTTAACCCAAGGCAACACACTCGTGAAATGGCCCTGAAATTGCA